AACATCTGTTACGAGCAGTCTTGTTGGTTTAATGGTGGAATAAACAAACTATATTGAACGAATATCATTAAAGCATAAGAAGATGCAAATTGGATTTTTTTTTGAGGTTTTTGAGGTACAACACAACAAATCTGTGTATTAATTTTAATCGAAAGCTTTACGTACGTTTTTGTTTGATTATTGCTGATCATAATATATTGTGTCAAGTTTAATCATTGAAAGCAATTTTTGCAGGTAAAGTGTTTAATAAACTTGCGATAATTGATAAGAAATTAATTAGTTTGTTAAAACATTAGCTTAAGCTAATTGTTCGGTAGATTTTTAAACATCGTTGTTTTTGCTATAGATCTTGTTTTGGCGGTTTCGGTTTTGAGCAAATCTTGAATGATTTTTGTCAAATATGACGTCTTTTCCCTCACACGTGATAAACATGAGTTGATAACTTTTTGGTCTTGGTCGACATCAGAAGTAGGTCATCTTTTCAGTTTTTTATGGTTCTTGAGACGTTAGATATCCAATCTTTTTTTGGTTTTTGGTTTCATCCGTTTGATATCATAGTATCCCTGGCATCAAAAAATCACATAAAGGCTCTTAATTTTTTTTTGCTCAAGATCAAGTGATTTGACCCAAACAAAAAATTTTGTGTTTCGGTTCTCACTTTTCGGGTTTTATATTTAAATCAAGTCAAAAGTTGGTTGACTTTTGGTTTAGGTCGTTTGATATCATAGTATCTCTGGCACTAAAAAAATTCCATGTGGGCCCTAATATTTATCTGCAAAACAATATATTTTGTTTGGATCAAATCACTTGATCGGGAGCAATAAACGAAAGGGCCCCATATGTGATTATGGTGGCAGCTACAATTGGATTGAGGAATGAAACTTTTTAGATGAAAAAAAAAAATAATTTTAAAATACAGAAAAACCAAGCATTTTTTTGAGTAATCGAAAAAACGTTTCCTGTTTAAAGTAAAATTAAAACAAAAGCTATCTTCTATTTCCGCAGAGAAAAACTTTAAAAATTTGAATGCGTTTTATTGTGTTCCAAATAATATGATCTCTTATCTAGACTATAGTGTTCATAACTTTAGCAAGTCACAATTATTTAGAGAAAATGGACCAAAACAAAATCGGCCAGTTTTCATGTAGACTGCACAGAGAGCTTGGATGACAATCAGAACAAAAATTCAGAATATTGAATCTGAAATAATCCTAAATCTGTTATATATTTAAATGCGGGCTTCACTATCTCGCCATGTTTAAGCTTTTTCAACGTATTATTTTTGCATGTTTAAGCTATATCGTATATTGCAATGGTTAAGATTTTTTTCGAATTTCCACTTTGATTTTAGTGATTATTTTACCGCGTTTAAATTAAGCAGCCCAAAATCGAATTAGGGGTTGCGAATTTGGCCTCCAATTTTGAATGCCCGAATCATTTTAATTAACGAAATGAGACGATTTTTGAGAAGTTTTTGAGAGAATAATTTACAAAACTCGCAGTTCCCAACCCTGTAGTTGGGTACTGTCAGAGTACCATTAAGGATTGCGAGTCTTGCCTCCAAATACGACTGCTCAAATCCTTGTAGTTATGGAGATATGACGTTTTTTGTGATTTTTTCAATTTTTTTTCAGAAAACTTACAGTATCATGATTTTTTTTTTAAATTTAAAATTCCCAACCCTGTAGTTGGGTACTAACATAGTACTATCAAGTATTGCAAATTTTGCTTCCAACTATGACTGCTCAAATTCTTGTAAATTTCGAGATATGACGTTTTTTGTGATTTTTTCAAAAATTTTCAGAAAATTTTAATGAGTTATTTTTCAAAATTTAAAATCCGCAATTTTGTAGGTGGGTGCTGTCAGAGTACTCTAAGGAATTACAAGTCCTGCCTCCAAATATGACTGTTCAAATTCTTGTGGTTTTCGAGGTTTGACGTTTTTTGTGATTTTTTCAAAAACTTTCGGAAAACTTAAATAATTATTATTATTTAAAAATCTGGAATTCCGAACCCTGTAGTTAGGTCTTGTCAGAGTACTCTCAAGGATTGCGAATCTTGCCGCCAAATATGACTGCTAAATTAATTCTTGTTTTCGAGGTGTGACGTTTTTTGTGATTTTTTCAAAATTTTCAGAAAATTAAAATTAATTATTTCAAAATTTTAAATTCCCAACGCTATGACTCGGTTTTGTCAGTGTACTATAAAGAGTTGCAAATCTTGCAACATTCGACTGCTTAACGCGACTGCTCAAATCTTTTTAGTTTTTGAGATAAGACGTTTGTTTCAATTTTTTTTCGGGAAACTTAGGTTTAAAAAAAATCACAAAATTGTGAATTCCTAACCCTATAGTAGGGTGCTCTCAGGGACTCTCAGTGGTTGCAAATCTGGCCTCTAAGTTTCTCCAGAGGCCCATTAAGTTTTCGAGATGACGCTTTTAAAATGGGAATTAAAAAAAAATTCGTAATTACTAACCCTGAAATTGGGTGCAGTCAGAGTACACTAAAAGTTTGCAGATGTTGTTTCCAATATATGCGGTTTTTCGAAAAATATATGCGGTTGTCGAAAAATTTCGAAGCAACGGAGGTGCGTTAAACGCTAGTAGTTTTTAAACTAGCGGTGCGAGAGATTAACGCAGAATAGACCTCAAGTACTTTTTTTATATTTCAAGTAATTAAACATTTTTATTTGGCCGCTTTTTCTGAAATTCTGACGGAAGTCTCATTTGTTTACTCACTTATGTAGTATATTAGTTTAGCGAGAAAAACTGCAAAGCACTGTTTCATTTAATGTTCCGAATTTTAAAGAAAGGAGAATATATATGAGCGGGGTTGGTTTACTAATGGTACCAAATTTCAGAAGAGTCTGGGATCGATCCCATGATCTTCGTGGTGTACGAGAGTCGCTCTAACTACTAAACTATCCTGGAATGAGACAGTCGGTACTTTTGCAATCGGAACATTCAGCAGGGCTTTGCCCTGTTACGAGAACTCTTGTTTGGGTATATGTTTTTTTCTGTGTGTGGAAAAAACATGTCGAAAACATGACTCTTTTTAACGTGGGTGCGTTTGATTCATACTCTTTGGTTTCACAACCACTTGGAACTTAACCAGAAAAAAAGGCACCCAACGTTATCCGCACAATGTTATTTGTAAGACAACCTTCTGCAAAAATCTCTAGACAGCGCGGAAATTTCAAACAACTCAATCTGGTAATCGTTTTCCATAAAGATAGTGAATGAAAATTTTTATGTAGATTTAGGGAATTGCTCCTTTCGGTTCGTTTTCTCTCTCTTAGCGACACCGAAAAGTGGTCCCTTGGGTAGTGAATTCATCGGGGCGACCAAGATTCACTACTATCTACAACCCCGAAAGGGTTAAGTTGTGGGTAATTATTCTGTATTGTATTATGTTGCTTGCCCCCTTCTTGTGTACAGCTCTTCAGGCTGTCTAGTCTACTCGATACAACCGGAGGAAAGTACAATTATAATTTAGTTCAGATTAATGTTCGTCTAATTACAGAAGGCTCTGAGTGTCCAGGTTATGATCTAACAATTAAATCAAAAGGAAAGGGACCGCGAATTATCAGCACAATGGTCGAATTACATTTTGACTTCCAACTAACTCCACTAAACGATTCTCTCAGCAGAGAATCTTTTCTAATCAACACAAAGTAATTCCAATCAAATGCCTAGTTTGGTCTGCTAAAATTATTAGTCTCTCTACGGTTCACTATTCCTATGAGGTACTTTAACTCATCTCGTTAGCTTCAGGAATCACTGTTCTCACTATGACGAGAACCAATTATCTACTGTTTCTACTATAATTGTTCTCTTACTCCGAGAACCAACTAATTGACTAACTAGCCATAACTGATCTCTGCAATTAACTGAGAACCAACTACGTTCTATCTCAGTATCAAATCTTCTGACTCTTAAAGGCTCTCCGGTACCCTCCAATTCCTTATCTTTCTTTGCACTAACTTTTTGTAAAGTCACGCGATTCCCTATAGGTCCTGACATCCGCTTAAATTAGCCTCCGGCACTTCTTATGTGACTACATGCGTCCCCGTGTCAACTCTGCCACGTGCAAAATTCTGTTTCTTTTATCAATCTTTTCACGCTTAATAAATACCCGGTATGCGGTAGGTGTCACAATTTGACCAATCAATCAATCCAATGATTCTAACCAACTAGTTACTGAACTCAGTGAATTCAGCACTCCAGTTCAACTCAACCTCCAAACAATGCTATGTTTTTTTAACTATCCTCCCAAGGTCTTCATTTTAATTATTCTAATAACGTTCCGACTTCCCAAGGGTAGGGGGAGACACTTTCCATGTGTAGCCAATTCATTGCAATTCAGGCATCTAAAGTTTCTACCTGTACTCTATTCCAATCCCGAGTTTCTAGCTATCAGGGAAACGTAGTTCGTCTATTAGGCCAAATTAAACCAAAAATTTACTTCCGGGAGCCAAATCAATTCCCCTTCCGTTCCTACTAATTAGGATGCCTAACTATCATGCTGCGTTCCTACTACTGCCAATTTTCTCTGTGAAACCTTTTTTAGTCTAGTTTAACTGCTCTTCATGGATTATTCACCAGACTAAACTGAACTCAATGTTTTTCAAGTCCACATTGA